ATAATGTTGGATCAGTGTTTTAGTATTTATATCTTTTATTAGATGTTCGTGTGGTTTGGTTTTTTTCCTTTTGGTTGAAAGTACACTGAGAGAGGACTTTTTGTTTTTTTTCATATTAATGTAATTTTTTTCATCTAATTGAATCTATTTGTGTATGATTGTCAGTCCAAAGAGGGAGAGAGGAAAGGGGGAACGTGAGGAGAAAGTACAAGGTCAGGAAGAACCAGGTAAGGAAACAGACAGGGAACAGAGACAGACAGAAACTGTGAAACTGAGAAAGAGAAAAAAACTGATTTTACTCACAATCTGGAAGTTTTTATATTTTTTATTAACATTTTATACATTCAAGGACTATATTCTATTTTTGGAGTGTATTTTTTATGTATCTGTATTATATTATACATAAACGTTAAAGGTGAATCTCTGTCATAAAAATGCAGTCAGTTTACTTCTTACTCACTATTATTACACATTATTCTCCCAGTAATTAAGGTTAGGATATGTATTCTTTTTATTCCAATCCATTCTTCTTTGGCAGCATTTAAATAACCTTTATCAGATTTGATGGTTTTGTTACAGACTTTTCAAAAAAGTTTTTTTCTTTTCTTTCACAAATGTGGGATTAAATTGTGTTAAAATGTACAAAGCAGTGATGTCATGTTTTGTGACGAGGACCCAGGCACAGAGAGACTTGATGAATTTAAGAATCTTGTGATTTAATAAAGAAATTTGCAGACTTGCACAGAGATGGTAAAATTATGATGACTGATAACGGAGACGAAGACAACAGACGATGAGGAGGAACAGGTTTAAATGCACCAAGGAGACAGTCAGAGAGACAACTGGAAAACTGGAGGCATTTAAGGATGCAGGGACTGACAGAGTAAAGTTTATTTTGCCTGGCTGGGCAGCTCTCTGGGTGCTCAGCACCCCCAAAGCTCTAATCCTAGAATTGCCCCGCTTTAGCCTACAAACCGGATTCACGGCTTCCGCAAACCGAGCCGTGGATCTGTGATTACTGCAGCCGCAACACAAACTAACCCCAAAATCTGACAAGTAGGAAAACAGAGAAAAGCAAAACTCTCACAAACTTCCTCCTCACTGAGAAGGACTTCCACACAGAAGGCTTTTACAGAAACATCAGATAATGCTGGACGAGCCCCACGTTTAAGAGAAAATAGGAAAGCCACAAAAAGATTTTTCAGCCTGAAAGTGCAGAGAGCCCCGACCTCTGCAGACACTAAATAATAACAGCAGCATATTTCAGCGACAAACGAGTGATGTTAGCAGCGCACAGGGATGTTGGTCACAACTCTGTAACCCTCAGAAGCAGCTGAAGCTGAGTGGGGCTCAATCAGGGAGGTTTCCCACTGAGACGGGGTTTCTGAAAGCTTAACCAAACATCTGGATCCACCTTCTGATCCACATCCACGAAATAATTGGCTCCTTAGGTCAGCAGTCCCCAACCTTTTTTGCGCTACGGACCGGTTTATGTCGTACAATATTTTCATGAACCGGCCTTTAAGGTGTCGCGGATAAATACAACAAAATAAAACCAGTACCGGTACCGAAAAAATACGATTTATTCAAAACACACAGGAAAAGACCCGGGAAAACCGAATTAATGATAAAAATGAAAACAAAAAATAACGCTAAAAACCAACAATCACACCCAAGCCTCAACTCTCGCAGCCCGGTACCAAACGACTCACGGACCAGTACTGGTCCATGGCCCGGGGGTTGGGGACTGCTGCCTTCTTCTCCGCCATGTTTCATAAAAATCACCATTGTAGTCTTTTACCAACAGATGGTACTGTAAACAAATTGATCCTAAACACTTTCAAACATCTGAAACATACACCGGTGGAGTCAGACTCTTTCTTGGCGGATGGTGGACACAGTGGCCAGTCTATTGTGACGAAGGTGAGGGTGAAGGTGTAGCTGTTAGTTTACTGATCTACCCTCAGCTATGACCACAAGGAGCAGAAATGAGCTTCATCTGCTGGAGGCTGAACCTTTAGAGATGAGTGAGGGGCTCATTCATCAGAGGCTGAGAGTGGAGCCACCACTGGTTTGACATCTGGCCACATACAGCTGGGAGGGTCAGACCCAGGACATGCTGGCATTGTCCCCACCAGAGGAGTTGGTGGCAGAAGGAGATCTGGCCATCTGTGTTGGCCTGCTGCCCCTGAGACGCGGACCCAGATAAGTAACATTAAGCAGATGTTAATGTGTTAGAGTTCTCTACTCCAACCAACTCCATCAAAAGGAAAACTGAAGGCTGTCACTGAGCGTGAGCAGATTAACCACAATCTGACCCCAGAAATCGACTCTGCAGCACCAACACGAGGGCTATGTGCACACCCCCACAAACTGAACATCTGCAGGGATTCTTCACCCACATCTGGATAAAAACATCCGAAACACGGACATTTATGAAAACAGCTCAGAGTTTATTATGCAGGACAGAAACAGAAACAAGACGACAGAGGAGTTATTTTTTATAAATCAGATAAGAGTAAGGCTGAAAAGTGTGTGTGTGTGTGTGTGTGTGTGTGTGTGTGTGTGTGTGTGTGTGTGTGTATAAAGCCCATTGGCAAACAGGGAGGTTGAAACAGTCAAATCAGGTAATCAGCGAGTGCAGCCATGTGGCAAGAAAAGAGATTGGCATACACACACACACACACACACACAGACACACACACACACACGCACAGGAAAGAGCATTAAATTCTACAAACACACACACACACAAGTGTATATATGTGTGTGTGTGACGGACAGCTAATGATGATGAATGCAGGGTCACTTGATCACCATGGAAACAGCTTTAACACTGAGGTTAGTGTGAACTGTCCTGTAATCTGGACTAACAGAGTGATCTCTCCTTCAAGCTGTGTGTGTGTGTGTGTGTGTGTGTGTGTGTGTGTGTGTGTGTGT